TACGATAACATAAAACACCAATATTTCTCCCTTTACTATGCCTGTTTAAAGACAAGCTATTTAACTTTTTCTCCTGAGGTCTTCAGCTGCACTCTTCCAATTTCATAGCATATTGTGTAACAAAAAATTGTCTTTGAACAATTGAATTGTAATGCAAAGAAAGAAAACACAATCTCTAGAATCGAGGAGTTAGTAACGGGAATGAGCATGCAGTCTCAGCAAGAATCAGCAGATCTTGTAATTTTAACCCCAGAATTATTGCAAAGGCTGATGAGATTATCCACTGATTTATTTATTTATGTATTTTACCACTCAAGATTTTTAATATCTCATTGAAGGAGAAAAGGCTGATATGGTAAGTCAGAATTCTAAGTCATCAGGCACAATAAATGGGTTATTCGTATTGGCAAATCATAATTCAACAAGCCTCTTATGCACTCTGTGAGGAGAAAACCACAATAATTTCAAGGCCACTTCCCACCTCATCAGAAAGCATTTTAGAGCATTCTTACTATTTGGAGGTCTTGTTTTTATAAAATGAAATGCATGGATGAGTGACTCTGCATAACTTCGTGCATTTCAGGTTTCTAATTCTTTGCCACTACAGCACGTCTACAAATGATACAGTGAATGAATTTCATGTGTGATACTAGCTGTGCAACTATACCCTGAAATCAATTTTTATTCCAGTCAAAAAAGCCCCACTATAAGTAATTACAGAGTTCTTCCATAAGCACTGCTTTTATCAAATCATTTACTGTTGAAAATACATCTTTTCCAGTACATCTTCCCTCTAGTGGCTCACAAAAACATTAGCTCTGTCAATTTCATTACTGAAACAGAATCTAGCAAATACCATAAGCTGAGACAGAAACATCTGTAATTTCATTCAACTGTACTGCAAGCCTCCCACACTGTGTACCTTACTCTAATATCAGTTTCTTCAAATCCTCAGCAACGCTTCTTACAGCATTTGTTGACAAAGAAATGCACTCCAGTTTGATGCCATACTGTTTTCCAAGCATTACTTCAGCCATTTTTACCATAGGCAGGAAGAATGAGTGCTTCCCTAAATCTTTGCATTTTTCTTGTAAAGTTTAGTGAAATTTTGTAAAGCACTATGTATGCGGATTATCATATGACTTGAAACACTGCTGAAAAAACTGTAGAGGTTTATTTTCATGTTCTTGTTGCTTAGCTTTTGAATGTCTTGTTAATCACCATAGCTTCCTATGACTATTAGCTAATTTCTTTTTTGCATTCAGGGCAAGAATCGTTGTTAACAATAATGTCAATCCATACTTCAAAAAGTCTTAATTATTATTTCTAAGTTTTGGAGCCAACTTTTAGTCACATATGATTATTTTTGTTTTTCCTCATAACGTGGCTAATAAAGAGTACTAGCAGTAGGAGATGCACAAGCTCTGCCATGTTCTTGTATTGACACTATCACCATTATCTTTGATCTGCAGTTACTTTTCAGGAATCTTTTTAAATCACTTGTCTGATTGTGAGGGGTTGTTTGGTAAAAACTAGATAATACAACCTGTAAACCAACTTCACTGGGTACACAGAAACCACAATACATTGCAATGTGCTGAAAGCAAATGAATGAGTAATTGCATGACAATCAGCCTCTCAGCATTGTGGAACAGCAACACTTCCCTCAGGGCATCTTTTGAACTGTACATGACTGTGCTGACATGAAGACAGCGTAAAGTGTAATTCCTATCTTTTTTAAGATAAAAAAGAAACGTAAGTTTGGCTGTTTTCTTCATGCATTTCAACACACTGTCTTGGGCACACATTCCTCTTCGGAGACTACTGCTCTAGAGCAGCAGGTTTTTTTCAGTACTATTTTCCAGAGAAATTTCTTTTCTAAACCTATGAACAAAGCTACATGCAAGAACATCTCACATACTCTAGCTTCTCTTATATCATAAGTATACATAGCTTGCTGAAATAATGTATTTTACAGTGCTTCGGAGAATCTAAGGCTGAAATAACACTCTATACACAAAATTCTAGTACTGGTCTAGCAGAAGCTGAGCATTATTGTTCTGAGAGATTATAATAAAATGCTGGAATTAAATAAAAAACAGATACAGAGATTAAATACTGCAGTCAATGAATTATTAAATGACTTTGGCATTGTCCAGTTTACCAAGTAAGGCAGCCCAGTGAAGAGGAGTTCGAAACAAGTTGTCATATGATGTCACATTGCAGCCTGCGTAGGAGGTCAGGACATCAACAACTGCCACATTCCCATCAGCAACAGCAAAATGAAGTGGAGTTCGTCCTTCATAGTCTTGCCAGTTAAGCAGAGATTCTGTAGGTGCAGCTTCCTTTAAGAAAAAATAAAAATACAAAATTCAAAAAGTACTCGAGGCAAAGAGAAAAACTGTACGCTCTTCACAGATATTTCTGGACTCTCACAGAAATAAACTGTCCTTGTTCAGTAGAATATAACTTTATAAACTACGGTTTTGTCAATCTGTAATGCAAGTGACTTTTTACATAGATCCTTAAAAGATTATCTCAGACTCCTGTGAAAATAACTACATCTTCTTAACTTAATTTTCTAAATCGAACACAACATACCTGTCAACATACTTTTCTCCTATGATACTCTCACATAGCACAAATTAGTCTTATAGCTTTCATTATACTTTTCCTAGCATTTTAAAACCATGTGACTATCAGAGTATTTCCTCCAGAAATGTCAAGCTGACAGGATAAGAGAGAACTTCAAACAAACATATCTACTTATAACGAGTTTAATTTCAAACATAAAATCTTTAAAAGTACCATGATTATTTATTGGAGTATGTAACATAGCAATTAATAGATATACTGTCAATTCTCATCACATTTTATTAAAAAATATGCTACATTTCTTTCACATAAGCCCCCATGGTATATAGATTTATAGTACGATGATTCCTTTTCATCAGCTTTTTTTCTACACAGATCGCTTTTCATGAATTTCTTTCTCAGACAAAAGAGCAGATTCAAACTATCATTATTTCAGTGCTGCAGAGATCTCCAAATGGTGAAAGAGATCTCCACATGATACAGCCCCACAAAAAAATAACTCCAAACTTCATCTTCCAGAAAAGAAAGCAGTAGCTCAAGAGAAAGCAGTAAGCCAATCAACAGAAATTCAAGATGCATGGCACCAAACATCTAGAAGAAAGATGTCAAAATAAGAGCTTAAATAAACTACAGGGTCTACATCTGCTGTTCTATTTCCAATGACTCAAAACAGTGCACTGAAGTCATGTGCAAATCTTGTGCAAAAAAGAAAGAGAGTCTTGAGATTTTTACACTATAATGACTTCTAACAGTAGAATGGGTTTTGAACCATGACAACCAAGAAAAATGATCATCCTGAAAATAATGTGCCACACTATATTCCATAGTATATGGAAAAGGAGGGAGAGATTGTGATCAGCAGCTTGTTAACAAAACAAAGTAAGTTCCTGATCCCTTTCTCTTTAAAATAATTGAAATTTTTCCTATAGACTTTATGAGGTACACAGCTGCATCGTAAAATTACTTGTATTTGCATTATTTGAAATGCAGTAAGCATTACACAAAACTAACACCAAACACCGAGAACATTAAATCAAGCAGCAGAAAGTCAGGATATGATTTCTACCACAATATTAATCTACAAGGCTGTACATTCTATATTTTCTATTTAATAGATAAAAATAAATTCAATCATATTTCTTAAGTGCCATCTGGCTACATTAATACTGCAGAAGGAATTTCATCTGCAGTGCCCTGGTTCTTTGCATCTTAGTTTTTTGAAAACGTCAACTTAGACTTCCTAATATTTAATTTTCTGAAGTGAAATATCATATATTTTCTATATTATATTTAATTGATATTTGTGCTCTCCATCTTACACACCTAGAATACCGGATGCCATTTTTATATCAGTAGTATTAGCCATGGTTACTAGACCAAAAAAATTATGCTACTTGAAACATATTGTCATTCATTACTATATCTAGCCGCTAGCACAATAACAGATCATCTATTAAAAACACAGAAGTTGATAAGTATGAATTTCTAATTAAAAATAAACTCGAAGTTGTTACATGGAAAAACCACAGTAATCAAAGCATGAATATCACTTATTCTAATAAGCATTCAACTGCATTTTTCTGAGTCACTACAGTGGAATGTTCTTCCCTAGCTTTAGTAGTGCTCAGAAGCAAGCTGTCACTAGGCTTCATTTCTGTCTATTTAAACTGCTCAGCAGAGGGAGTGTAGAACCCACTGCTGGAAAATCAGAAATGATATTTGAGAATCACTTTTAAGAATCACTAAAATCAAATGATATGCCCAAGATCTAACCTGCACCAGAAGAAAATCTGTCTGAACAAAATGGGCAAGAGATAAGAATTATTATTCTCTTTACCTGTTATTTATTGACATAAACTAGAAAGCTTAATTTTGAACCTTCCAAAGCAAAAGGCCAAATAAATGAATCCTCTTGGCTGAAAGTGACTGACATTTTACAAACATATCCAATGGTCCATAGCATCACTTTTTCAAAAGAAAACAGAATCTCTTAATGATAAAGTCACTGTTTATATTCCAGTTTAGAAGTACTCATGTTTTCAAATTTTTGGCTACTTGGCTAAAATTTTGTAGGGAACTTCTTCCCCACACTGAAGAGCATAATTTCTTTGTACTGTAAGTGCTTCTGCTGTAGAACCAGCTATAACTGAACTGTCATACATCATTAATATTTTAAGCACAGTACACAGAAGAAACAGAAGCTACACATTTTTTTCCGTAGCAATTAGAACAATGGAATTGCAGGCAACAATGGAAAGTGTTGTATAAATAAATGTCATGTCTCTTACCATGAAGAATAAACAAAGAGAAGAGATACAAAACAGAGACAGAGAACTAAGCAGTTGCTTCCATCATATTAATGGAACTATATCCTGTTCTTTTCTCCTTAAATCTTCCCAAGGTTTTTCATGTAACCAAGCACTGCTGAATCTGGAAAGGTGGAAAAGGAAGTTGACCATGAGAGGACCTCCAGATGAGAATTTCTCTCTACTTCACACGTTTAATTTCTGTAAAACGTAAGTGGTTCCATTTTCACTGTATTTCATGGATTCTGATACTAGATGCAATCAGTTGTGCTTCTTTGCCACCAATGTAAACCAAAATTTCTTATTTAGCATTGACTTGAGCTCTTTTCATTATTATTCTTACAATCCCAACAGGTAAGTACTGTGTGAACATGAGGTAGAATGACCATTCTTTTATGGATTTAAAAACAGGAGACAACAAATGGACACATTCAGATGGCAGAGCACAGAAAACCAAGACAATATTTTTCAGTATCACACACTGTGGTCTGAACAAAACCAGCAGCTTAACTTTTGACAAGGTTTTGTGCAGCAGCATAGAACAATTCTAAGTAGGATGATAAAGAAAAATCATTTTTGTGGAATTCTTCCACAGTGTTTAAGATAACATGACAGAAACAACAGCAGTGTTATTTTTCATAACTTGTTCAACAGCAACAAATGCTTCCAATGCACATTAAGTGGTAGTACATATCAATATTTGACCTCTATCTGAGCAAGAGCACGTAGCTTATAGCACTCTATCAAGAAAGCACAAAGTCTGTGCTGGATATGACCAAAAATAAACAGGCCAACACAACTGAAGGGCAACAGTGACTTTGTCAGACTCACAGATCTTTCGCACTATCGTCACTACAAAACTCTTCTGGTGAATTTAGAAACGCCATTATGTAAGTTAAAACACAAAATAATAAAAACTTTATCTGCATGGATGCATGTGTTAGAAACAACATGCAGAAAGAATTAGAACGTCTACAGAGTTAACCTGGATGTTTGGGATGGGGAAGTAAGAGAAACAAAGGTAATGCTTGGGCAATAGATTTGGAACTGGGTAATATGATAAAAAGCAACTAAGAAAGGAGGGCAAGATAAGCTCTGCTTTAGTTTTGTTGCCTTAACATTGCCAAGCAGGTATCTAAAAAGATAGGTAAGAAAAACAAGTTCTAAGACATGGCAAAATTTTACTATTGGGTTAAATTCAGAAGCACACACACACAAAAAGAAAAGGTATTTATACTTAAAAACAAATCTGATCATCAGATTATCCAGTAATAACGTTTCCTTAGCATCAACTTTCACAGCATATTCTGGGAGCTAAACTGCTTTTTCATTTAACTTGTAATATCTTATGCTCACCAATAAGCACACATAGTTATAACAGTGCAATATGAACAATTTGGTTCTTACAGAAATGCATAGGAAAAGACTAGAGGGACACAAGAATGTGCCATTTTGGCTGTCAGAGGAGAAAACAAACACAAAAAAAAAAGCACCAAACAATCGTGACACTGTTAGGACACTGGATTACTTAAACAGAGACTTTGAAAGCACCTTTAGGAAATGACATATTTTTGAATTTTCCTAGTACACCTTCCTCCTATTTCCTCCCTGCCATATTGGAGAGAAGCAAGTGAGTGTTTATGTGTGGGCCTGGGTCCTCACAATAATTGGCTGGGGTCCATTTGTGTTATGTGAATCATAGAATCATTAAGGCTGGAAAAGACCTCAATGATTAACTAGTCCAACTGCCCACCTACCACCAATGTTGTCCACTACGCCATGTTCTTGATCATGTAAAGTTTGAAAGTCTAAATTTTAATCCAGCAATCCATACCAACTTTTCAACAAACTCATTTTCCTAGTGTAGCAGCATAATAAGATGGGAGATATAAATTAAAATTGGTTTAATCTTGTTTGTAACAATTTAGAGTGAAATTACAAATATTTTGAATAAACACAAGTAATACAGAAATCACATTAATAAAACACTGGAAATTTTTCAAAAACTATTTTTATCGTAAAGCATATCAGCAAAGATTATCAATGTGATTTAGGTAAGAATCTGCATATTTTCACATGCCAGGGGTAACTTCTCAGCTTGCCGTGTAATCAAACAGAAGTCATAGTTAGCCTACAACCAATGTGCCTTGTTCTGAAAAACCTCTGAAAGGCAGAGGTGTAGAGAGATTGTTATATTGAGTGAAAATTAAACTGAGACTTCTGCATCTTTTCAGGTTAGTGAAGTTTAGAGATTTACATGGAACAAAAAATCAAGGTTGAAATCAAGCTAAGGGCATGATTTCAATGTACTCATTACAGCTGTCAACTAAGGAAGTGAAGTTAGAAAGAAAATATGGTATCAAAGAAGAATTATTAAATATGAACAGAAAAAATATTTGGAAAGTCTCTCAAATGAACTGACCAACAGCTGACTGATCACTGATCAACTATTTCCCAGAATTCTAACTCAAAAGACAAAATTTGGTATTACAGTAGTTAACAAAAAATAAACTTCCAAATGATGATAAGACACATAACAGAATTCACCATGCAATTGAGATGTGTAATGTGTTATGTTCTTTTTAAGTAGGAGAAGTTAAAAACTCTCAAAATGAATAGTTACACATAAAACTGATCAGAAGAATACAGGTAACACACGATTTAGAGCAAAGATACTAATTTATACAACATGGAAGAAACATCCTTCAATATGGCAAAAATATCTGAGATGGTTTCTTACTAACTTCTAGGTATCAGAAAATGATTTAACTTTTCAGTGGACTCATAAGAAACATCTCAAGAAAACAATAAATATTTATATCTCAGAAAAGTAATAAATACCAAAAGGGTATACAATAGATTTTCTTACCAGAATACATTTCACTGTGTGAATTGCACTAGGATCCTTATTGTTTGCTGCCCAGTGAAGTGGAATTTTTCCTTCAATATCTGGGATTCCAATATTTGAATCATGTTTTATGAGAAGTTTCACGTGCTCAGGGTTATTGTAGTAGGCACTCCAATGCAATGCAGTTTGCTGGAACACAATAATCACGTTTTACAAACATGGTAAAGAATACAAAGAAGATGAAAATCAAAGTCTGTTAGAACTTGAAATATGATTTAGTTATATTTTCACAGAGTTAAAAAATATCTGAGGTTGGAAGGGATCTCTAGAGATAACCTAGCCCTGCTCTCCTGCTCAAAGTAGGGCCAGCTAGAACAGGTTCATCAGAACACAGTCCTGTCAGATTCTGAATGTCTTCACAACCTCTCTGGACAACCTGCTCCACCTTTAACCTCCCTCATGATGGAAAAACAAAACAAAACATGTCTTTTCCCACTTTTAAATATCAACTTCGGTATTTCTTGAATATCAGAATGCTTGCATTGCCTCTTTCAATTTGACAGTTGACACTTAGCATGGTCTCATTCCATTTTCTTTACTTCCTCCCACCAGCTATTTATGTACATCTGTAAGAGCTCTCCTGAACCTTGCATTGTTCAGTCTAAACAGTCCCACCTCATTCAGCCTCACCTTTCTGTCCGATTAGTTTTGAACAGAGGTTTTGACATTGTCCTTTATCACTCAGAATTCCACAGGTTGAGTACAACTGAATCTAATCTATATGGACCATCAGCAGTCCAATAAAACACCAACTAAATTCATGTTCATATTGCTAATACCTGACACTCAGTGTTTTTCACATGTGCTATCAACATTCATCATTACAGAAGCAAATGTTAGTATATTAACATGTAATCTACTGAGCAGACATATACCTCCCAATTGCCAAATACATTAGGGTTATAAGAAGCAGAAAGATTTCATTTCCCCCTCTTTTCCTTACCCTCACACGTCAGCAAAATATTACATAGCACTCTGATTTGAAATTGGAGAGATTAACTGCTGCAAGACATTTGTGTCTAAATTAGCATCCTTGAATAGTAAGATATAATGTGTGAATTTATTACCCTAGCCTTTACACCTCTGTAAAGGAAGAAGGCAAAAGGAGTCTATTCTTTGTGTTTGTTGCTTCAGGCTGTTATTTTCGTACCATGGTAACATAGTATGATATTGAAAATTTTTGTTTACTCAGTTGCTCACTTAAAAAGAACTCATCCTAAGACATAACTAGAGGGGCTGAAAGAAGTAGTTTGAAAACTTACACCACATACAGTGACATATAGCCTAGCACCATAGCATGTTCAATCCATTGCAGTCTGTCAGATTTTGAAATTAAAAACTTCTAGCAGTAGAAGTTTGAAAGAAGTTAACACATGCTATTTCTTAAGCAAAGCTAAAGCTGACAAATGCATATGGGCCTAAAAAGGTTTCAATACTAACAAACCAAAGCAGCTTTCCTTTACTGGCTTCTCTCACAATCTACTTCTCAACCAGTTGCCTACCCAGAAATAAATGTAAAATACTGTTATTCTCTGACATTTTCATGAATTAAATTTGAGAATCTTGATGCATACAGTTGCAGTAAGAGAAACGAATAAGCTACGTGCCAACCAGGGTTGAACCTGTTGGTCTCTGTTCCCAAGAGAGCCTGAATTCCATCCTTGCTACTTTGACTACTCATGACAGGAACTGGAATAAAAGTGCTCTACGTTTTGTGGAAAATCTGGCAATGCTTTAATACTGCTTTGGAAATCTGTAGAACAAAAGGCAAGGTCCCTAAGAGGTTTTGGCTGGTTTCCAGATGCTTTTGTTAATTAATTAACATGGTCAGGAATCAGCATGACCTCTCCAGACTGAATGCTGTAATTACAGCCAGGGTTTCCATGATACATGTTAGAACACCCTGGAAGGCAAACAGCTGATTGCTAGGGCATAGGCTGCTTCAACTCTATTGTCTGGAGAAGACAGGAGATTCATTTGTTGGAAGGGGAGCCTGCAGATGCCTTATTCTGCTTCCCTGATGATAGAATTAGATAAGGATTTCAGAGTTTACATAATGAAACTGCTAGAAAGCCCAGTCTTCTTTTGATAACATAAAAACAAACCACATGAGATACAAATGATGGCATGACGATGCTTTCTAAAGCCAGTCTTGCCAAATTGGTATGTTAATCATGAAGTGATACAAGTACTTGATTGGAGCACTGACATTTGAATCAAATGGTAGATCAGTGCCTGATGGGAACATTTTTTGCATGAGTTCCAAGATCACTTACAAATTGTAGAAAGACAGCTTTTTTTATGAATGCTTACAAAGTCTCCTTTCCTCTATTAGTCTAAGTACTCTGAACACAAGTGTCAGTGAACTAGCTACAATTAAATTTTACATTATTATCATTGGGAAAATGTTAATATTGTTAATGGTGATCACTATAATATCCCTGATTGTTGCTAATTCAAAGAATCAGAAAAATTTTCTTAAAGTACTGAAATACTTTTTTCCAGACAACTGTTTTTTGCAACTTCGATTTCTAAACCCGCTACAAACACTGTCTTAGAATAAGTAATATTTTTTACCTTGTTTCTGTCCTGGGTATCCACTTCTCCAGGTGCCATGTGCTTTAGCAGCAAAGCTAAACATTTGGGGCTTTTGTGACGTGTAGTTAAATGTAACGGTGTCATACCCTCTAAATCCTTCTGCATCCAGTTCCCCCTACGAGCCAGTAAAAGTTTCATGAAGCGATAGTTTCCCTGGGAAAGGAAAATTAGGAGAAATTTCAGCTTATAAAGCAAAATGACAGTACTCTTTTGATATTTTACTGTTGCCTCACAACAACAGTACACCTCTATCACAATAAACAACACCTCTAAGATTTTTGGGAAACCAAAGCATTTAAGTTCATATTTTCTTGTAGTAGAGTGTAAGACTTGGCTCACCACGTTACAACTGAAATAAAACCATTAGATATGGCTTCAGCAGACAGACAGATATCAGATTAGGAATAAAACTAAATACAAGAAAGACTACAATTTTCAAAATGAGAATAAGAAAAATAACATGACATGATTTAGAAAGAGAAAATGAGCTCATCTGAATGAGTAAAAAAAAAAAAAAAAAAAAAGACTGTTTCTTACAATTTTAAACAGAGATCTGTATGTGAGTTTTGATCTACTGTGCGCATGATGAATGGATGGTACAAGAAGCCTTGTAACATTCGTTTCAAATACTTAACACTCTGGACTTACTATGTTTTCAGAAGAAATAATATAGAAATGCTCCTGCACCTAATAACAGGGTGCATTCCTCCTCCAAAAAAACAATTTGTATCTGTTTCTCAAGTTATCAAGGAAACCTTTCAAAAATTAAAAATATAATCATGCAATCATTAAGAAGTTGTTGCAAACTGAGCCTTGATTTGCTTCTGTCCCTTACTTGAAGATTATCTCCCACAAAGCTGAAATGCTACATAAGATATTTTGATGCTTTCACTTCAGTACTGAGTACATTGGGTTTTTTTCTGAAATTACTCTCAGCAATTAAGTTTCAGTGGAGAATCAGCAATAGAGAGCTGGAGTAGTAACTCATTAAAGCAAAATATTTGAAGTTAGAAAAACTTGTGTGTTTTAAACATCTCCATTCTTTCCACAGCTTACCTAAAGAGAAAGGAGTGAACTGTTTCTCCGTGTTCCCCAAAACACTAGGCTTTGTCAGTTTCATATACTAACAATTAAAATATTAATTAACCAAAAATACAACAAAAAGAGAATGTTCAGGAAGGGAGAGAAATAGTACTAATAGTATTAATACTACTAATAGTACTAATTCCATCCACTCAGGAATAAGCTGCAGTATTTGATCAAGCTTTAATAGACAACGTACACAGGTGACATACAGAGCAACAGAAGTCATATCTTTGGATTCTTCTGCTTATGGAACAAACTGCAAATTAACATGTACCAGTCTGTTATAATACTTTCACAAATCCTGTATGCTAACTTAGTACCTTTACGTTTCCCTTGGGAAAAAAAAAAAAAAAACAACAATGGAAATAACAACAGAAACAAAATGTAGCCATGTGGACAAGTGGAAGCAATTGTAAGGAATGGAAGTACTTCTGTATATCCTAAGACTCAGAATTGTGAATTGATTTGTCACCATAATGGTAGGGTAGAGATGGGCCAAAGAATCCCAGAGATCCCCACAGTATCCAGTGCCAGGGTATACAAATATTTCTGTTTCTTTTTTCAAAATGTGGTACAGCAGCCTTAAAGAGTGGAAGGGCAGATTTCACACGTTACCGTTCTGGTCTTTGTCCAGTAGAGTTGAGCTCTATTTGAGCAGAGTGGATTTGATCAAGTATGCCTAAAACAAGTATATGTGACTATTTTATTCCTGTTATGCTATTTTATTTCAAAATAAAAAACAGGGAAGACATATCATGAATATGCTCAGCCAAAATAACCTTTTTCTGCTTCTACAGTTTGTCGCCATTGACCCCTGCTTTTCAGTGAAAGCCCTAAAAGCCCTACATCTGCCAAAAATTCTACTACAAACCTGTGTGCAAACGCAAACTTCTGTTGCCAGAGACAGTCAACAGCATTCACAGCAAGTTCAGCAAGTAGTGAGTGACTAATTCTCTTTTTCCTGCTCGATATCACAGGAAGCATAACGTTAGCATTCTATCATTTTAACACACAGCCATGCACCAAGGCATGCACTGGCATACAACTGCAGAACAGGAAAACGTTTGCACAGCCTACTAATCCATGCAGAACACATACAATATGAATTAGTAATAAATTTGAGGATGAGTTAGGGACAAGAAAACTTTCCATTATTACCATCATATTTTACAGGTAAATATAAGAAGAATTTGTAAAACTCATTAAAAAAGAAAAAAAAAAACTAGCAAAAAAATGCAGTGTATCATGCTGTGGTTGGCAATTATACTGAGGAAAGACAACATTAAATAACTTGAGAGAATATTAGACTTGGAAGAAGTATAGCTGCTATTCTCTATCACAGAGGATAATACATTTGTTTTGTTTTCATTATTTCCTAATCAATGTCCATGCACACACGTGAAAGAAAAAAAAAACATGATTTTCTTTTGTTGATGGATACTTATTGAAAGATCTACAAATATACTGTGCCTTCAGAATGAATTGAGTAGCTAAGAAGACTGAAAGTTAAAAAGACACATAAAACTAAGGGAACGTATTTTTATTATTAGAGTTATAACTAAGGAATGCATTTTCATTACTAGTTTCCCTGTACTCTATTTTATCTTTGCTGTTACCATTTTTCTACCAGTTACTACTACATTATTCTGTTGCATGCTTAGCCAGCAACAAATACCCCTCCTTAGGAAATGAATCTGCAGTAAATCCCCTCATTCTGAAACACGAAACATTCTGTTTCTTCCAAACAATTTATGATTAGAAACAAAAACAAAAAAAACAAAACCAAAAGAAAACCACAAAAAACATCACCAGAGATGACAACAATGTAACAACGATACAGTTTTTACAATACTTTTTTGCAATACTCCTCTTCCCTGGAGAAGTACTGGATTGATGGAATACCTGATACACAACTGAACCCAACATGGGCACACAGGCTTAGGTAAAGAAAAGAATCCCAGTAACATGAAGCCACACTAATATCTGAGGCCCTTCTGGTCCAGGTTTCAGTCCCCAAAACACACAAGCAAACACAGGTTCCTTCTGGCCCTTAGTTCAAAGCAGCTCAGTAGCATGGCAACACTTAGAACAATCATTATGTTTTTATTACTATTGAGAAGATTTAAATAGCATTATCCATCTCTAGTACCTGGCATTCCAATGGCACAATAGGCCAAGCAATCTAACATACAGAACACTACCATAAAAATATAGCTGTGAAAATATTTCAATACTCAAAATTAAAAAGAATGTAACAGACATTTTTGTTTCCTACATTATGATATCAAACAATAGTGGAAAGATATAGAGTCGTGAATGGATACATTTCAATACATTCCTAGATATTTAATTGAAATTAACATGTTGCTTTATCCACATTTTTCTCAGTCTCATCTTCATTAAGAGTTCTTCTCCCCTTCCGCTTCAATCTTTCTACCTATGAAAGTATAGCATAGGTTTTAAAACCTAAACACAAGCATTAGCCTTTTCATCTCAGTAATAAAGGCTAAGCCCTATGTTTCCCTCAAACCATTGCTAGTTCTCTGCATACATTCTAGTTTGAACTCTTTTGAGCACAAGAAAAGATTACATAGGTCTCACTGCGTAGCCTACTGAATGGCAAAAATACTTCTCTATTGCTAATGCAAGTATCTTGTTAGACAAACCTAAAAGTACATTCACCTCGCCAATCAATCCATTAGCACACTGACATCCTTTTGCAGTCATTTCAAAATTAAATATTCCCAATGTACAGAATAAATTGTTCTGTTTCCGTGCACGTGAAACTGCATTATGGACCATCACATCTTCAGCCTATTTTGGTATTCTCCTATTTCTTCTATTTTAGTATTCTCTCCTACTTCTAGTATTCTGAACACGCAAATCCTGTCTTCAACTGATAATAATGCCTTATCTTGTCCTTCAAAAAAGTACTACTTGTGATGCCAAGTTTCTTAATTAAAAATATTGACTAATACTAGATTCAAGTGCATCTGTTGAGGAATTCTAATATATTCCTTCCTATCTCATAGAGCATATTTCAACAGTACTTGCTTTCAGCTTATTATCCAATTATTTACCATACTTTTAGTGTCCTAATTTTCCATTTAACTGCAATTTTCCACCTCACACAACACTTAATGCTTTTCTACAGGCCTAACAAAGGCTATCTGTTGAATTTACCTCTAGAAAATCAGTTAGCAAAATGTCAGGTTAGTCTCGAAGAATGTTCAATAAAGTAGTGTACATCTTACACTGTTTCTATTTACATTTACATATCTATCTGTCTCGCTCCAATTTATAGGAGGGAGATGAAGTTCTTTTAGTATCTGTATACCCAGCGTGAGATTAAGAAACAACGGTTCATATGTTGGTCCAACCAGTTTATTACAAATCCTAATCAGGGAGATGGGGAAGGGAAGGAGGGCAATAGAAAAGATAGGAAAGAAGCAAGAATTGCATAAAGCAGGGATAGTCAGCACCAGGATCCAGCAGCGGTCCTGTTTCACAATGTTTGAAGGTAGGAGGCACAAGCAGCAGGGGGGAAGCAGCAGCATGGCAGCCTTGGGCAGCAAGCAGGTAGCAGGAGGCAGTTGCAGAGCCAGGCCGGGAGGCAGCAGCAGTGCTCAGGCAACAGGCCCAGGAGAGTCTGTCAGCATGCAGGAATTCCGTAGTGTGTGGAATCTGATGTCAGACACCTCTTCTTCTACTTCAGCATGCAGGCATCACTTTGTGAGGAATCTGTTGTCAGAAATCCTCTGTTCTTCTTCATGAGGAATCTGTTGCCAGAAAACCCGTTCTCATGGTTTTCGGTTCCTCTTTTATCCTTCTTGTTCTCCTGCTGATGTGACAAGGATGGGCCTTGACCAAGAGACATTGAGTACCCCCTGAGATGGCCATCATCCTGAGGTAAGCCCCCACAAAAGAACACTTCACAGCGATTTAGCTGCAGCTCATCTCTCTCTCGTTGCCCCTGGCCTTGTCCATCTGTGTCCCCCACACAAAGGATTTCACAACCCTTACCTAGGACTTGCCTGGACTTGAAGAAGTCCATCTGTGTCCCCAGCAAGCTTTGAGACACTGATGTTAACAGAATATCTTACACTATCCCTTAGAAACTTACTTCAAATCCTTGCATGTTACCGAGGTAAAATAAACTACTTTTCTCTGTTGCTTTTCTCTCTGTATAAGACATTACTTGCCAGTATCCCAAACAAAGGACTCCAAAACCCAAACTTCCATGATTCCTGAAGAATGTTTAGATGATTAACAGTATTTTTCATTTTGTCCCTTGCTGTTTCTGTGCTGTTAAAATGAGACTTACTAACATCAGACATTAACTACTGATAAGAGCTCCTGACACAACAAATGGCCATAACTAAGCCCACACAGTGAGCGCACAGAACCTTGCAGACAAGTGGAAAAATAAGTCACCACAAAGCAGGGAAAGCAAAGGTCTGATTGTTTCAAAGGAGTGCATTCCAAGAGAACAGAGAGGGAATAGTGATACAGCAAACTGACCATCTGTGACAGAAGGGATCTAAGATATCTGATAATTATACGTAGTTTAATAATGTATTAGCTTACTAAATTTGATTTTAGAAATACATTATTAAGTAACACTTATGAAAAATGTTTTATTACTATTTTCTCTATATTCTTTCATAAAAAGAAAAACTATTTAATAATCAATAACTCCTCTTCTGAGGAATATAATTCACTTATTTTTACTCTTTCTGGAAACAAACAACCACAAAGCTGCTAAGTTATTACTGTTAATTGCAAACTTATAATAAATCTGCTTTTCTAATACTGCACCAGTCACAGTTTGGCTAGTGATTATACTTTTGCAGCATATAATTAGCATTTTAATTTTCCTTTTTAAACTAGTACATCATAATTAAGACAATATAACTAAGTATAAAACAACAGCCTGAGAGTAGGAAAACAATTGCATCACAGCTTATTGCCTACATGTCCACTTACATACACAATTTGTTTGATTTAGATCCAGCCTGGGACAGAACCATAGTTGGAACCACACATGGAAATTCAGCATGCCTGGCCACTTACCTGCTTTTTTCAAAGAAAAGCCTCAAACCACTGTTTCTGCCCCAAATACATTATTTGATATTTAAAGATGATAAAAAGTCAGATTACATATTAAGCTTTTTAAGCCCAGGACTCCTTAAAAGTAATCGGGATTTATAATGGAGTTAAGATATAATCTTTGTTATGTCAAACACAAAGCTGTAATTTCAGTAGTGACATGCAAGTCTCTAAAATCAGTATATATATACATGGTGACAAATAGTGAACTGTGTTACGCATTCAGATACTTAATGGGGCAAAACACAAAAACCTTCCAGATTTTAGCTTAAGAATCTAAACAATATAGCAGCCAATTTGCACTACTTTTGCATGCTTTGCCAACAGACCACTACAGATCCTATAGCTGAAGTTGAGAAATGCTCTTCACTATCAGATGCTTTCAAGAAGCAGTGAGTGTCAAAGAACTTGAACTCCTAAATTGCTGGCTAAGTCATAAAAGGATGAAGATATACATGAGCTCCCTCTTTTAAAACAAAAACTGCAATTGGAGTTCTTTTACTCATGTTCACAGACAGGGTAGAAACTGCTGTCTTCGACCTACTTGGTCTTACAGAAGATAAATCTTACTACGTAAACAAACATGCATACTTAAACTTGCTTTTTCTTCCCAGCAAGTAAGTGCAGAAGAGAGGATGCTTCACTCCACATAACAACTTCATCACAGATTTCCAAAACCCAAGAGCCCTAATGTCTTCGGAAAGAAAAGAGGCTATACAGATTCTAGCTAACACTTTCTTTTGAGATTGTTTCATCTATTAGCATCCTTTTGAGAAGTCTGTTCCCAAAATGACTTAGAATGACATAGAGCATATGATGGACTTTTTGTCATCAACACCTGTCAGTTTTAATATCTTTTCAGGGAACAAACCAAGCACTTAGCTGTGACTATATTTCTAATTATATATACACATATATATATAAGCAGCATATTGTTCCAGAAGAACATGAAATTAAAATATCAAAAGATGTCTTTTGATATGCTTATATTATCAGCTAACTGCCAGAAATCTGACAAGAATTCTTCATAAAAGTTATTAAAATATAGGCTGGCAAGTAAAAATGTTAATTAAATTTCAAATAATTATTTAGAGTTAAAAATTAAGAAAATGTGTGTTTTGAATTAAAAAATAAAAAAGTGTATGAAATAGTGAAACTTCTTTATTTCTAGTACTCTGAAGCTGAATTAAGAATGTCTGCTTACAGTAACTATTAGCACTGTATAAATGACTGCACCATTCTGACACTCTCGAATACTACTGCTCATTTTAATTTTTGAACAGTTCAGGGGAAGAGTGCAATCAATATAGCTACTTAGAATCTCAATTTCTAGTTAAGTGAGTAAAGTCACCATCAAAGTGGCAGGCTGTCTCTCCAGTGATGACACACTATGCTGCCATGTAAGTTTAACACATAATATTGTTAATTGAGCAAAAAAGCTTATGACTCTTTATGCATTCTTAGTATGTTAAAATGTGAATACATTTTGATATAAATTTTAATTGCTATGTATCAAGAACACACAAAATTAGAATCACAGACAAGCTCCTAATGATTTTTTTTTTTGCTTCATGTCTTCAACAATAAATATGACTTCAATATATAAGCTATGAATAAGGAAAGAACTGGGAACATAGAATCATAGACTGGTTTGAGTTGGAAGGGACTTTTAAATGACATCTAATTAAAGCCCCTCCCCTACCATAAGCTGGAACACCTCCTTTTAGTCCAGGTTGCCCAAAGCCCCATCCAACCCAGCCGTGAACGTCTTCAAGGATGGAGAATCCACTTCTCTTTTAGTTTAAAATCATTACCTATTGTCTTATCACTACACGTGTGATGAAGAGTCTCTCCTCAACTTGTAGGTTCCTTTAGGTACTGGAAGACCACAACGAGGTCTCCCCAGAGCCTTCTCCAGGCTGAGCAAGGCCAGCTCTCTCAGCATTTCTTCACAGAAGTGTTCCAGCTCTGTGCACCGTTGTGGCCTTATGCTATTTTATCTAATTTAGCAATAGTTCTTAATATCTGGACTAATCATTCTTCATTAAAACATGGAAGGTACAAAATTATATCCCTATTGAAAAAGCACCGAGAGGTTGAATAATTTAAAGGATTTTTTAAATTTAAAGTATGGATATCTGAAAAGGCAAGGATGCTGTGATGTCTTCCGTGCAGCAAACCACCAGCAATGTGGTTGTGAAATAATGTGAAATAATTCTTTCAAGTAAACTACTGCAAAAACACTACCGATTTTGACAATAGGCTTAATCTCACAAAGTATCTTTTAGTAACTTTGTTAGCAGCATCCTAGTTTCACAAGAAAAAACATTCCGAATAGCTGAAAACCTTATTTACCACTTTCCAAGTTGATCATGTCCATCCATCTGGCAAAGCATTTCAGGCAATACATCTGCCAACAGCACCAGTAGGACTTGAGACCAGTTGTATCAGATGTTTTGACTGAAAGCAAGGCAGTGTCTGAACTTTGAGTACTTCTTCCTAAAGCCTCTTGCAAGATTGGCTTCAGTATTTTGGTTTCCATAGGGATGGACAGAACTATAAACTGGCATACAGTCAAAGAATACAATAGAGACAAAAACTGAGCAGTGTTGTAAAAACTAAGATAAAACTGTTTCTCAGAATAAGTTAAAAGAAAATAGATGCTTACATCTTATAGTCCTTGAACTCATTTCTCCATGGCCTGTACTTGCTTTATCTGTGTAATGTTTTCAGCTCTTCAGCTCTTGAATTTTATAGTCTGCCTATAGAAATCAGTCATTTTCATTTAAAAAATACGTCAAGTACGAAAATGCAAGAAGCATTCTAATTTCCAGTTGGTCACAGTTCTACTGTTACTGACTTGTTTTCCCATAGCAATCTTTTGAAGACATTCAGCACAAATACCCAAAAGATGAGAAAACCCAACACACATCATCCATATTTACAGCATCACTACCCACTTCTTTGAGAATATTCTGCAACCAAGTTTACAAAAAAGAAAAAAAAATTGTACAGTGACTGAAAGATATGTTAGCACTGATCTCCTTCTCCAAAAAAGGAGTACTGGAAAATATTTGTTACATTCACTTTCTTCATCTTAATGGCTTTAAGTTAAACTGTATTGAAGTAGGAGTAGTTTTAAAAGGCCAATACATCCCTGCGATAAAGTAGTCTCCCCTTTCAAAACTGCTTTTTCCTACATTCACATTCTCTTCCAATCCCAGTAAAGTTTTGACTGATATCCTTATTTGTAACATTCTTGCCATTTCCAGTAATTACTTGTATATTCTGTATAACTACTGATGTTTTGCAAATGTCTGTTACTGATTATTTAGTTGTATATTACCGAATGTCCCCTGAACTGCCAGTTCTTCTCCTAGAGATACAAGACAAGTTAGGACGGTTCTTTGAAAGCATTTTCTCTAGACAATGGATGCCTATACAAAAAACCTGTATAAGCACATACTTTAAGAGGACAAAACTCTATCAAATATCTTTAAGTTCTTTAACAAGCTGTTATGTGAAATAATTAAAAAACTCCATACCAAATTCTCTCTTATAAGAAAGGGTCTCCATATGCAGTGAAATTTCCCGGATTATTACAGAAGTTGAAGATTCATACAGTAAATAACCTTCAACAGCGTAAGCTTATCCCTTATTGAAATAATTATTGAGATTATAAATAAACACATCATGATATTTCACAGCGCCTAGATATACTACAGGGAAGTGTGAGAATAAAAAAAAGTCCAAATCTCCTCACAGTACTGGGAAATAAACTAAAGCCTTAGTAAGCTATTCAGACCTCATCTTAACGCTCACGAAAATACTGCATTTATTCCTCTCTGCTCAAAGTGCAGGCAGATAAAACAATAGGTCAAACTTAGTTTTATTTGAAATGTTCTTAAATCTGCACCATGGTTG